CCGGGGCATGAGACACTCAACTGCCTTGGTCACGCGTGTCTACTAGTAAGTGGCTGGCCATGGGTGTACAACGGGTGTCACCGCACACACAGTCAAGCGAGCACAATGATTGGCCACTGAGGAGAGCGTGACTGAGTGAGAGGCGATTTGTTGAAGGTTCTTAAAATCAGCCACAGAAAGGAGGAATTTCTTTCGATGTGAATGAGAAGGTTGTTTTGGAGTGGGAGACAACCCCACCTGGCTATCATTATGTGTTTGAGTTTGTATGGGTGAATGGATAGAGCGACAAATTTGGTAGTTGGCATGGAATGAATGAGCTTCATGTAAAACAAAGTTGACAGCTGAGAGCGCTTCATTTTGATCATTGCTTTTTGAAGTGGATATCTTCGGAAGATAGCTGTGTTTTGACTGAACTTGAATTGTCCATACATTTGAACGTACACTTAAACAAGACATCAATGTCGTACGACAATTTCTTCAAGCCAAAATTGAGTTTAGCCATTTTGGTGGTGTGAAGTGCTAAGAAAAGTAATAATTTTACTCAGTTATAGGCGAACCTCATGAATTTTCTTGCAAGACCTGCTCAGACTTGCTGAGTTGCCCACTTATGTGGTTATTTTGATACGTAGTCATTGTTAAATTCGTTCACAGACAACCACCCGCATAAAACGACGCCTCGAAGTGTTAGTCCCTCCTCACGTAAGCACAGGAAGGACTTTTTTTAACCACCCAGTATCGGCTTATTGGTTAGAACCGAGCACACTGCATCGGCAGAAATCTGTAAAATATATGGGATCAAATCAGCTTTCCTAGAAATCAAATTTCCAATTTTTTTTGGGACCGGAGGGGTGCCTTCATGCCACTGCCTTAGGGTATTGGCGTCATTCAATGGACACCCAGGTTTGATGAGTATTTCGTAAGGGTGGAGCAGTGTGCCAAGCTGAATCGGTTACCATTGGATTAACTCGCGTTCTAAATTTGACACCCTCTAGGTTACTTTAGTTGCATGCTAACTAAAGGTGTACATTTACACGCCAGATGTCTTTCACCACCCACAGCACAGCTACTGTGATCGTGCGTATTCATGTATATGGACATAAACCGTAACAACCTTGGCGTTTGTTCTTTTCTTACTCAACTTACATTTCCTTTGGCAACTAGTAGACTGATTAGATGAGGGCACTCGTCAATGGATGCATTGTAAACAGTGTGCAGTGGTCAGTGTACACTTCCTCCTCCTCGGGGGCAGATGACTGTCGCTTTGTCACAAAATTCGTGTTAACTCACCACTTCGCACCTAAAAGCTGTCTTCATACAATCTTGTATTGCGTTACCCCCTCGGCACTTTGAGCACCGTCCCTGACGCTGCCTTGTGGTTGGACTCTGCATATGCCACTTGTGGTGGTCGCCTTTCCTTCACTAATAAGTAGGCTGCACCTTCCTATCCGACCGGAGGTGTACCCTTGTGCAAAGGCATTTTGGTGTGATGAACAGTGAATATGTGAGCAAAGATTTGTGTATTGCAGACGAGGTGGTTTGTTAGTAAGATGACTTTCACTTCTGGCAATACATCTTCGCTCCATGGATGATGCAACTAGTGGTGCATTCTAGGTGGCGGGACTGGCTTGTATAGTCACGCTAAATTTCCTCCTCGATCGTTGTTTGTCCGTATTTGTATTGATATCTCTCTTGCCTGTTCTATGACGATCTTTCCATCCTTATTTCGATTGCAGTGAGTACTCTGAGAAATCTTGGATTGCCACGTCCGTGCTTGGGAAAATACTTCAGAGAATCCATTAATTTAACTACCTGTGAGCGTATTAAATGGTGGATAGCTGGTTCGTGCATGGACTGTGGCCTTGCACACGGGGAGTACACCTTCTAGGCTTCAATCTCAGTGTTTTAGTGACGCATTCCAAGTAGGAGCCTTTAGCTGTTCCATCAGAGTGCAATCGGTTCTCTCACCTGTTCATTACCTTGTACATAGTTTAATGAAGACCTGGTGAATGAATAAATGGATATGCACTGCTTCGGGCAATTTGTGTTGACAAAACTAGTGATTGATGAAAACAGAAGCAACTGTCCCAGCGTCTCGCGCCTTCCTGAGTTCTACATCGACTACATTGGTGAGGTAGTCTGCCATAACTAGAATGCATCCATCTCCCCTCCTATTGGGTGGAAGAAGAGCTAAGATACGAATGTAGCGCCTCTCTCCCTTCAACAATCCTGTCTGAGTAGATTGGACTGATGGAATAGCTGTGAGGTGAGGCTTTTTGCAGTTTGTACTGCAAGCAAAGCGGGTTCGGTAGGAATCAAATACGTTTGGGCTGAGCGCAGGCAGTCAGCATCGTTTGCTCAAAGCGTTTAGCATCCACTCTTTGCTTGCGTGGCACGGATGCCTGTGTAGCATACGGTAACTGTTTGTGCCAATGAATTTGTAAGCACTAGTCGCTCTACTGCACCATGAAGTCGTACTGTTACAGGTCCTTGTATCGAAGCCCACCCGCGTGGTCTATCTCCCTTATTGTACCAATTGAGTCAGCCAGCTCTTGATGCTCCCTTCACACCATAAATGTCCTCGCAATCAGATCTAAACTGGCTGAAATACCTAACCGTTATGAAGACATCAAACACTTCGTCATGTGTTGCGCTTTTCTGTCTTGCTACTCTGCAGAGTTTGATACACCAACATGTAGGCAGTAAGGAATGGTCTTCCATCTTTGTCCTTCCGTAAGAGCGCACCACCCACGACTGCATCGTTAGTGTCAGTATCCAGTACAAAGTAGCAGGAAGCTAGAATAGGCACGGATAAATAAATGGCTTTGCTTTTTTAAACGCTGCATCAGCCTCCGTCTCACATTTAAAGTACGTTTAGCCTGCCTTTCCGTCAGTTGGTGTAGCGGAGAGGCAGTCATGGCAAAAGATTTGGCAAAATGCCAGTAGTAAAACACCAAGCCTAGAGAAGTACTTTGAAAGTGATCTAATAAAGTGATGTGATACGCCTAGGAAGGAGAGGAAGCAGATAAGCCAACGCCAGCAGTACACCCCTATTTACGAGTTGACAAATTTTTGCCATCCCAATATATTTACTACTTCAACAAATATCCCAATGACCAAATTTTCCTTAGGTGTGCTGATCAGAGTGGCGCATTATAAGGTGGGTAACTTAATGTTTGCCAGTACGGATTCGTTATGCAGGGTGAAAGGCGCCAACAAAGTGAAGCCAAGTGAAGCGGTGTCTCTAATCCAGAAGTAAGTTCCCTTCACAACTTGCCCATTATGTGCTTATATAAATGCTGCAAAATTATGCCAGCCTATGGAATGGCCTGTTCTTGACCCAAAAAGCTAATTGTGGTTGATGTACACCATGCCATCACGTGCAATTGAGTGGCATGGGCGATTGTACTGAAGACACCGGTGGGGGCACCTGCATTTGCGGACGAGCTTTCTTCTTCATTTAAGTAAACTTGTTTACTTTTTCGCTCTATAGTTGTCTTCTGATTAGCTAATGATTGGTTCGGTTTCGTTAAAGTGGGCCACTTGTCCGTCTAAGGACTAGATCAGTGCCGTTGTCAAACAATCATAGTGGTACCTTTGAATATGCTGACGAGATGACGCACGTTTCCATCCGGATGGGTACTCAGGGAGTCTCCGCCATCCACTATCTTTGTAATAGGCACACACACAGGTACGTCACGTCTGTGTGCTGACTCTCATGCGCTGATTCATGAGACCATCTGCTGATAAGACCTTGCTTGTTATCTATCTCGTTGAGAGGTGGATAGGATAGAGACCACTGGCTCACACATAAGGCCCAAATTATATCATACTGCTTCTTTGATGGTGTGGCGGGAAATGAGAACTGCTGCTTTTTATGAAAAACTCTAGAATATATTAGTTGGTCAGCTACCTAGCTTGTGTCTCTCAGTGGTCATATTCACAGGCATTCACTCTCCATGGACTAGGTCTGACATTCCCGACACGAAGTCGTGAGTACTCGGTACTCGGAAGCTTATCTACCGTCACTTTGATGTCCTGCGAAAAGGCGTATAAGTAGGAGTAGGCTGAGGTGTAAAGGCATGAGGCACGGCTTATCGGACGCATCACAAAGCACCTTCTGCTGCCCCACTTCACTACCGTAGATATGGTGGAGATGACAGGCAAGTTCCTCTACGCCTCCTCAGCCTACATCGATCGCCCCAATGCGGAGCGTGTTGGCAACCGATTTTGCTGTGCGTTGCGGGATTTCACTCCCCCAGAGGGGCGCTACGATATAATTTGGGTGCAATGGGTTATCGGATATCTGACACTATCTGCAACAGTCGAATTTCTTCGTCAATGCGTGGCCCGACTGCGACCGTGCGACTCCACAGCCACAGGTACAGCCACAGACCCAGTGGGTCAATCAGTAATTGTGCCGAGGGACGTTTTTCCAGATGCGAAGCCAGACTTCGATGAGGCGGAGAGCAGTTTTATGCGAACGCATGACGAGCTGTTGGAGGTATTTCGGAAGGCGAAACTTCGAGTGCTGCTGGATGAGAGGCAGACAAACATGCCATCCTATATTTGTCCGATTTATGCCTTTGTACTAGTTCCTCAGGACGAGTAGATCGCCCGTCTCGGTGACGACCATGCCTTTAGATGTTTGCATACAGATGCATGCCCTGTTTATCAATTGGTTGGGTTGATTCTAGTAAGGAGAGATGCAGTCAGCAAGGTGGCGTCTGCATTCCCAAGCGTGAGGCAGAATGAGTGAAGGGAGGCATTCAGTATGCCATTTTATCAGAGGCGGTGTTGATAGGCATTAGCGATTATGCTGGATGTATTCAATGCATGGCTGAGGTAGCTCTGCTACGCTTGGCCGCTGCCGAGACTGTAAAATATTGTATTCGAGGATTGCAGGGCTTAATTCTACGCTATTTTAGGTCGTAGGCATTGTTGGGTGGAGAAGTGATTCGCGTTCTCCTAATGAAAGGCTGATTTCCCACTCTGTTTCGTGGCATTTTAGTTCTCATTCTTTTCCTATCTCTCTTTTACAAAATTGCTTTACGGGGCATTTTGTTTTATCATATATCGTGTCAATCGTATAAGTCGTGTTTCTATTTTCTTCGTTGAAATGCTTTGTTATCCTCGTTTTCAAAGGTGTTTGCGCATCTACCCCGATCCTGGCGTCGTCTTGAAAGAACCAGGGACAGCTGATGTCCACCTCACTTGTCAGACAGTCACCTATGCAGAGGTAAACAGCCACCTTCTACGCAGTGAATACATGGCATACCACACAAGTGGAATTAAATAGACTTACATTCTCTGGATCAACCTGCAATTCACTTTCTACCGATTGCAATGAATAGGAGTATGACTTTCCTCACATTGATTAAGTAAACACCACCAACAATAAATTATTTATATTTATATGTTGTTGTGCTCGCGATCAGTTGTGCCGCATTCCACCTTGCTCAAAGATGTTGGGTAAATGAGTTCTCACGTGTATATATTGCGGTACTGATTATTCGCCTGAATCTGTACCACCGACAAGGATTATAGTTCCCTCCAATCGCAGAGATGCGAAGATGAGTGCATTTGCGAATATCTCATGCAAACCTCATATTTAATCACTGCTGTGAGGGGTTTGTGTTATCATCTGCTTTCGTCAATGTTAAGACTGGTAGAAAGACTTGTTCCACGAATGGCAGCATGACGATGGAGCATACCCATACCCACGCATTCGTCTCTGAGGTTGCAATCTGCCGTCTACATCAACTTGATATGTGGATTTTGCAAGCGCCACTTCCCCATCACACCGATAAAACAACTGCTCTTGTACCTTGTCTGAGACGGAGACACAAACGCAAAGGGTTCCTAGGAGTGTGAGTTGAATCTGCGGTAACTCCTTCCCTCGAGAGGATACATTGGGGATTAACTTTGCGCCAACTTCGTGTAAGTGTCAGCCAATAAGATGGACTGAATCAGAATGATGATAAGACGTGAGGCGGTGCTCTGGGGCTTGGCGTACCGTGGCGTGTTCTCACATCTCGTGTGGTGACCTCATGAACTAACATGACGTCGCATGAATCATCACACATTCCCCGCCAATCCTGAATTCTGGCCTCGTTTTCTAAGCTTCTATTCCCCGTTCAGCAACCGATGCCCATATCAGGGCTGCACGAACTCCACTACCCTATCCGCCACATCCACCACGTGATTGCAACTTTATTTTACCAGAGGATGCTAGGCGTTGTAGCACGTAGGAGAGTGGGTGAGTTTCCACCGTTAGTGAAGCTACGTGCTACTACAGGCAGTCAAGTGAATGGCGATCTGGTGTCCGGTGTGTCAACAGTGATTTGTGGGCTTTCTGTCTCAAATCTCTTCAGGATCAATTTAGGCGTGAGTGCATAATAAACAGAATGGCACAGTAATTGGTTTTGTTTGTGGTGTTTAGGCTCGACGGATTAAGTTGTTGGACAAATGGAAGTCCAGGTAACATGGAATGTCCTACGAACCGCAAGCCACCTCATCATGCTGAAAGCAGTGACAGGTGGGATACTTAAGTTCCGTTTCAGTCAGTCTGGTCAGTGCTTTCACTGATGGCGTAGCATCCAACTACAGGAGTAGAAGGTGGTGTGAAGCCTGGATTGGCGGTATTGTCTTGCCTATTACCCTACACTGTGGCAAATTTTTATGCCTTCGCATGAGCGTCCATGTCAAACAGATAAAAGACATTGCCGAAAGGACACCCATGGACATGGGCATATATCAATTTGGTGCAGGTTGTTGGATTTGTTTCACCTCCCGCAGTGCATGGCAACTTGCATCGATGCATTTCGAGTGATAAAGTTCGTCTGACCATACTTGTTGGGTACTTTCACGTCCTTAGTCTTCACCGGAGTTGTAGTGAGAAGAACACATCACTTGCCGACTAGTGCCTACAAGTTACCACTCAATATGATTTATTCGTCTACACTTCGTCATATCGACATATGCCCAGGGTAAATAACTTCCAGCAGTGACAGCATCGTGACGAATCCGCATCTTCGATTCGCATGTGGTGGATCGTGTAGTCTTTGTAGTCGTGCTGACCACGACTTGAGGAGAAATTGTGATGTCTTCTATCACGTCGCGTGAGGCCATGAGTTCACTACATGATGGGAGAGCACCTCACACATCCTCATCCCATGCCACGCCAAGTCACGTCACAATCCCCATTCTTTACTTCTGGCTGGCGACTGCTGAAAGCATCGACACGAGGATGCAAATTGGCACCATGGAGATCTGTGGATGTGTAAGAACTTCCTAGATTGAGTTGGTATCTACTCAGTGGGTGTGGTGTTCAGACTGGTCGTGTTGTCGATATGCCCAATTGTCTGCGACGCAGATCCGCCAACATGACAAAGGCAGGTCACACTCAGTGCCAACCACGAACATCTTGTAGAAACGGAGACAACGTTAAGTTGACGGAAACAGTAATGCAGGCCACATTCATAACATCGTGATTGGTGCTTTGTACATTCCTTTGTCGCAACCGAGAGGAAAGATGCACATGTGGCCATTCGGAGCCTCCAAAATGTGTAAAACTGCTGTTCAAACAGTAGCGGCGATGATTTGAGAGAACAGGTGGTAGTGTCACCTGACAACCATCTGGCACATGAATGTTATCTCTGGCATTTCATCTCATCCCATTTCATCCCATCACACTAATTTGCATTGATGCATAGAGTAGTACAGATGCACAAGTTGACTTAAACAGACATTATAGGTCTACAGAACACCCCACACCCACGTTTTCGCCAACATCCGCGGAGATCGAGACACAGAAACGATGGACGTGAAAGAACATGTGGGTGGGGCGATTCCCAACCCTGAGTGCAAATAATTCAGTATTTGGAAGGAATTGGATGGAACGTCTGTTTGGACTGAAGGGTGGAAACAGTTTAAACAGATGTCTTGTAAAAATGTCCCACTGTTCCCGACTTAGTGAACATAAACCTGTCCCCACTCATCACGTTTCTGGTCTTGACATCTCGTTGTACTGTCTAAGGTTTAGTTAGGCTGCCACTAGGAGACGCTGAGCCATATCACTCCAAGGGCTCCCTTTGGTCCCGCTTGCGTCCTATGTTTGTCCGATTTATGGCATTGTGCTATTTCCTCAGGACGAGTTGAACGCCCGTCTCGGTGATGACTGTGTCTGTACATGTTTGCATACAGAAGCATGCCTTGTTTATCAATTGGTTGGGTTGACTCTAGCAAGGAGAGAAGCGGTCACCCAGCACGAAGCTCGAGGCTACTGCAGCCTCGTGAGTAAGGAATGGGACAGGGTCAAGTAAACCAAGGTGGGATCATGGCGCGTCCAACCTCCATTGGCTAATTGGTGCGACCTGCTGCTCGTAAGTGTCCCGACTGTGTGAGAAGGTAGGAGGGAATTTGGATCAGGAGTTTGTCTTCCTGTTATGATGCGGCAGCGTACAAGAAGGAATTTGACACGAGTACTGTCAAGTAATCAGCCATTTGGTCTATTTAGACATCTACCATGCATCGGTCTTTTCGCGCAATTTGAGCTTGGAGTGCACTATTCCTCTCCTTTAGCCTCTTACCTCGCGGATGCCCTGTTCCGCCCAACCTTCTTTCTCCATGCGCTCGCTGATGAGCAGGCTTTACTAACTCATGCCCGAACAAGCGAGGAAAGGCAGCACGTTGTTGTGTTAAACAAGATGATAAACCCAAAAGCGACACTTTATTTTGGTATGATGTGTCAGACAAAGCACACGGATCGGGTAGACCTCAACTACCACTCACGTCTGCTCCCCTTGAATGTGGCGACTACTAGTTGTACAGCAGAATGGACGCATTCCACCGCGTATCCGCATGTGCTGCTTGCTATTTTGGATCGGCAGACATCAGTGACGAAGACCGGAAATCGCGCAAGGCAATCCAATTCCCACGGATGACTTTGAGATGGAAAATGAGGCCGAAACAACGAGATCACCTCCTCCCACAAATACTTGCATTTAATGCTACACAGCGAAGCAGCAGATGTCTACACTTTCCATTCAGTCACTACTTTCGCCACTTCGCACAGATTGTGCACATTACATAGCCACATTTTTCTGACACGCATACACATGCAGTGTGAGCGCACACCATTCCACGTTCCTTTAGGTGGTGCCGCTTACCAGTTGGTCCGATGATCGGTGGACAGGCAGATGTTGTGAATGTGGCTTGCATTGTTTTTGCGTCAGCATGGCGGCGTCTGCATTCCCACCCCAAGTTGGAGGGCGGAGGTGGTGGATGTGATCAGCAGTGGTAGCAGTCTGCTGTCCTGAGTCGCACACAACGGTAGTATGGAATTGTTGTCTTGACTGTCTGGGTCGCTTTTGAGCTGTGGATTTATTTTTTTCATTTCGCGGTTTGTCTTACAGGCAGGAAAGCAGGCAGGCGAGCAGGCAGTCACAGTGTGATTGTGTGATTTTGACACCTAATTTAATATCACTCAACTACTATATAATTATGGGGTTTTGCTACATTCACACCTGCCTCGGTGTTACGATAGTATAGGCACAGGTGGAACTTGATTTTTGCCCATATTTTAGTCGTAGTGGCGTGGCAACTGCTAGATAATCCTCGGTTTTGGCGACACTGACACCTTCAGTGG